TATATATTTATAAATTAAACATGTAAACCATTGTAGGCTAACAAACCTTTGTATTTGAAGCCTTTAATTAATAATAATAATAATAAAAAAAATATATACTATATAGTATTATTTGGACATTTTGTAGGTAAACAATTTCAAATAATCGTAATTAAACAATTATTACATTTGTAGGTACCAAAACAGATTTAAGACTGAGTCAAAACGACTGTATAACTCGGAAAAAGGGCAAGAAAATGATGAAAAAGATCGGAGCCGTCAAGTACCTAGAGTGTTCAGCTCTCACCAACGAAGGGCTGGACACCATATTCACGGAATCGGTCCGCGCGGCCATCGAAAGGCCAAGAACAAACTGTTTCGCGTTYCCGTTCTTCCAGTGCTGTAAATAGTACGCACTCCTAAATCGTCGTCATCATCATCATCATCATCATGTACCCGTGAGTTCTCGTCCCACCCTTATATCAGCCATCAATAAGTTTTAGCTCATCTACAGAGTGTGTAACACGCATTACACATACACAATATTATAATGTAATAGTTATTAAATACGGTGTTTCATTTATTAAAACTCACTTTTGGAACGCAAAGTATGTGCCATAGATTGTGAATCGCCTGTAAATAGCAAATTATAATATAAAATAAATTAACGTAACACTGTTTAAACGTATACCTACCTACCTTACCATATAATATGACCTCGCCGCTAAAACGACCAAAAAGATTTTATGTACAAATGGTCGCCATATATTGTCGGCTTATTATATATACTAAAGTATGCTTAAATATTGTTTTTTTTTTTATATATAAATGTAAAAATGTATTATTATTAGTTTTTTTATTATTATTTGTTTGTTTTGTCATGTGCATATATTATGTATAATATCCAGTATATCTCACACTATATATCACAGTATGACACGAATATTTGATTATTATACAATTTCGATTTTGATTAATTTGTTATTAATTATTAAACTATTTATAAAATATCACAGCGTTTGTGCGTTTGTATTAATTATATTGGATTTTCAAAAACTTGTGATTCTCATTCGATACTCGAGTTCCAGCAGTCAATATCTAATTATTTAATCCTGCGTGATAACTTATATGTAACTGATCATAATAATATTCCAAGAGGATATTTGTTTGTAATCGGTCAGTGTATTCCAATACGGGTAACAACCAAATTTTTAGGAGTTAACGGTAATCTATATATTTTATCTAATAATTGAACATTTTTTGATTYGTATAATTTTTAAACAAATTAATTAAAAATAACTGCTTTTTATTTATCTTTTAGAACATATTACCGACAACCACGATTTACGGTAAAACATATATCTTAGATCGTGCGTACCTGTAAGATACAACTACGTAGGTATAACAAATATAGCCACGCAATCTTATCACACACAATAATTTATAGGTTTAATGTTTAATTTTCCGTGTGTCATTGTGAAATATTACGATACGAAAATGCGTATATAGTTCGTTTTTAGTAACACTTTTCATTTATAAATGGTTTCCCATAGCGATTCACTTTTGGTAGTTTTTAAACAAGAAAGTAGACAGGTAGGTAATTGTAATTATTACTAAAATAATAAGATGACCCCACCTATATTATAGATATAGTTATAAAATGAATTGCATCCTCATATATTTTTTTTCGGTACCTATTTAATTGATCTGATTAAAGAAATTATTTAAATACATATTACTATATTAGACAATTTGAGCTTGATAATAAATGTGTAAATTATAATTGTTATGTGTACCCACTGGGTTGGTCATTTTTCAATAACACTAAAACTGAATGGCATATTAATGTTACATTAATGATTTTSAACCATTATTTGTATTCTACGATTTTTAGATTGCAATGTAGGTAAAAATTGCCGCAAATCTTTTATTTTATGCGTGTACCTACTCTAGCTCTGCGTGTTCATTATACGTTCGAAATCATTTCGAAATTATTTCTCAGACACTGGATTATACTTGTAACCACTGCTTCAAAATACAATTCAAATAAAATTTTATATTTTATGCATCAAATAATTTTTTTTTTCAATGTAAAATATTATTAACTGTTAAGTTGCAGCATTGCATCGAATAAAGACTGGAAACTCAAGTAATAAGTGAGCTATATGGGAGAGAGTAGAATGATAGTTCTTGACTTTGGATAGACCTCAGACGTAATGARCTAAATTTTGAACAGAGAAGAGAAAATACCAATATCGAGTGATTTTCGAAAAATAAACCGAAATGGCCATGAGATTGTGTAGTACTAGTTCAAGGAGYATAGACACTTGGAATTTTATCAATGCCAACAGAGAGAATATTGTGAAAAGAATATAGTCAATTGAATATACCATAAATTGAAAAACAAGGKTTTGATGGGAGATCAAAATCAAATGAGGATAATTTAACATTTAATTACGCGAATAAGAGTAATCAGATTCAAGCTATTTGTATAAGATAACTACATTACCGAAAAAGTAACGACTATTATGAACACCTCATAAACCTATCATTGAATGGAACATTATTATACTTTAGAAACGAGGTTTTTTTTAAATTAATTTTTTGTCTTGATTAACAAAGTTTAGA